TACTTATAACATAGAGCACACCATTTTTAAGATAGATATTAATGCCAAGTTTAGACCACACCCTTTGTGTTGTAAAATGGGTACTCACAAAACCACAACGACTACAGTCWATAACATAGCAAATTTGAGTTTTCTTGAAAAATGTTTGTGCTTTTAGCTTTAATAAACACATAAATGTATAATATAGTAGTTGATGATTTTGTAGATAGTAGGTATGTTATACTATAATACTTAATGATGATAAGACTATTAATTGTTAATTGTTTAAGAATGTTAATCAGAGAYGAGAATAATAATTTATAGGAATATTGTTGTAATTTTCTGATTGTATTGAAAAATTTTTAGTTTGAAAATAGGCTGCTATAATAATGATACCTATCTATTACTTAAAAAATATATATATTTTTTAAATTTTTAAGATGGAAAATTTAATTTAAACATAAAAATAATTCAATTCAAAGTAAATAAAATCAAGTTACAAATTAATTTACATTTTCAAAAATCAATATAATGCTAAATCATCAACTAGGTATAAACTATAAAGTTCTCTTAGAATAAGCTGATTTTAAACTTGATGATTAATAATAATAGACTAAAGTGCTATTAAAAAATAGGTAACAACAGTGGCGAGTTTTGTTTACTCAAAAATGTTAAAATTTGACTAAAAGTATGTAATCTAATCAGGTATATACCTATATATATGTGTGTGTTTAATTATTTCTTCTAAATTTTTGATGATTTTTRCTAAGTCTAAGATATCTTTAATGAAATATCCTGTTTGTCAACAAACTAGCTACAACTACGGCCGTCCAGTTGTTCTCTATATTGTAGACATTTCTGGTCAACATCTAACGCATGAGTCTTATTTTTTAATTGCTCGTCTAGYACTTTTATTTGTTCAATAAGAATATTATGCAAAGCCCTGTAAAAATAAATAAATAATCAAAACATAACATTTGTAACATATGTATTAGCATTCAGCAATAAACAGATGTGTTATACTTTGTTTGATTTAGCTTATCGTTCAACATTTTGATGWTATTATCGAGTTCAAGATGTTCTTTATGCAATCCAATAGTAGTTTTATCGAGGCACAGTTCAACACCAGCTCTATACAATCTTTCTTCACACCTTGTCTCAACTAACATTTTAGGATTCAACTTACTATACAAAGCATTTTCTAATTTTTCAATTTCTTTCAAAAGTTTATCCTTATCTGTTAACATCTATGAACAATCTTTAGCTATATAATAATCTAATTATATTTTAYTAATAGCCTTACGTTCCATTTTTGCCATTCTAATTCATTTTTAATTCTTTCTGTATCATAAATACGCCTTCTTAGACCATAATTTACTTTATCATTTTGAGCTAGCAGATCGTTTTTAGTTTTAATTTGTGGCACAATCATGGTTTCACGTAATTTTTTTGAATTAATTATTTCATTTTCAATTGTTTGTTTTAATTTATTGCACTGTTGGAGCCATTTTTCATATGTATTGAATCTATATACAATTAAACAGTTTGAAATAATAAGTATATTGTATCAAATTATTATTTCGTAAAATACCTATATATAATATATATATGTATAGGATAAATATTAGAGGTAACAGGCAACACTGCAACAGGTAATGAATATTAGGAACTGTAAAAGTCACAAATTGATTTTAACTAGTTTTCATTTTTTTTTTTTTATTATTAGAAAAGAAAATATACAATCTGTAAATATATGTACAATAAGTAATTTTGATGGTTTTTTTTTACAAGGCTTGATGACGTGAGTGAAGACGGTGCCCAGTGATACACTGATACTACTTCAGCTTKATTAGATTGGTGGTCATTTAGTTAAAAATGTTAAAATGATTTTTTTTTTTTACTAACTGATGGTAATTGTTTTTAAGTGTTAAGTAGGTCGCGTGGTCATTTACGTTTGAGGCGGCGGATAGGGTTATCTAGGAGTGAGAGAGAAGAGAGGTTTGAGATGAGAGGGTTAGGACGATTAATAGTATTTTTATGAAATTTTTGTAATGATTTGACGCTATTTCAGAGATAGTTGGAATTTTTAGATCCTTATGTAGAGTGCGATTGCTGACATACCAGGGAGAATTGGTTAAGAGTCGGAGATTGATGGATTGAAGGGCTT